TAATATATGTCATTATGTTATCTTGATACTTTGATAGTAAATTATAGTTTTTGTTAGCTCGTCTTTACCCTGTCATTTAACCATTTAAATTTTCCATGTATGTTATTTTTTTCAATATCTAGCACATAAACCGACGAAGTAGGTTGTCACATTTTATGTTTAGTTATCCTTCACTTTTTAAACTTATCCGTTGTTGTGTATAAATACTGTTAGATGATTTCTATGCTCATTTTCTTCACATAGCATACGATCAATGTTATTTTCGCAATTATTCGTCATACATTATTATAAATATATAATTCACAGCAGTACTTCGTCTTCCTACACTTTCATCAACTATTTCAGGAGTTCATTGACTTGAACTGTACAAAGAATCCGTTCTTTTTGCCTGATCTATCTACTTAGTTCTCATTTTTATACCTTTCCATTCTTCTCTTTGTCTATATGTTATATAATTCTTGATTCTTCTCTACCTCTTTACTCATATATCACTCATTCTATTCGATCACCGTTTAAATATAGTTTGTTATTTATCCTAACGAACTAGTGATAATAAAAACAAACACTTAGCTTACTATGTATTTACCCTTTGTTCAAACTTATATCTTCACAATGTTCACACACTATTGTTGTTCCATCTTCACATCACTATATTATAACTCCCATCTGTGTGTGAACATGACTCAGTTTCAGGCTTGGATAGAGTCATCAAGGGAAGGGGAAAATACGCTTTTCTCCTAGAATCATCCAGTAATAATTACTACAATCAACGCAAGCCTTGCCAAACAATGAAAATAGGAACGAATTAAGATAAAAAGGGATATTGTATCTCAACTAGGAAAAACTTTCCCCTGGGGTAAGTAACTGTATATTTCATTTACGCTGTGTCGTAACGCAAGCACGATGGCAAGATTTCTAATTTAAAATTAAACCCATTTTACATACAGTAATGGAACTAGATATTTCACAACGCTGTTAATACCGTCTTAAATGTATACATGGTATATGAAAGATGCATCGTCATTTAACTATAGGCTTAAAGATTTTAAGAGTTTTTTTTATAATGAGTGGCATATGAAGAAATTCATATTTAGCTTAAGTATGAATGATAGGATAACATGTATTAAAGTATTGAGAAATAGGTTCGACCGTTTGAGACGGGTTTTTTCTGTAATTGAGTCGGGGTTAATTATCAAAATTATGCGAATATTCAGTTCTCTGCGACAGTCAACCAAACAAAAATTACTTAATAATTATGCTAAAAACAATATGAAAACTATCTTTAGTTAAAATTGTAAGGAAAGATCATGATCTCTTTCGTTTTATTAATATAATCTCTTTTTGTAACAAGCAAAACAAAATTTTTAAGAGTATTCATTTTTTCATGGAAAACGATTTTTTTCCATTTTGACAATATATGTTCATGTGATTACAGTTGACAATTGAATATAACTCTGTAAGAAATTAGAGAAAGAGGCGATCTGCTGAAGTTTGACCAGAAATGGTGGTACCAGAAGGGACAATGTGCTATTAGCAGTGGTGGGGTAAATGTAAATTATTATTCAAATTGTCACTTGTGATAGTAAAGTTATTAGTCATATTTGATGTTTTTTATCAAACTCTCGATTGAGAATGTGTTTTTTCTCTGTTAAGAATGATTGTTTAGGGAATTGGAAAAAAACGGCTAAAAGTTGCTAAAAGTGCTATTTTTGCATATTTTGACCTCTTTATTGTAATTTACGTGGGTTGTAAGTGCCATTGATAATGTGTAAATTGCATTTTTTTTGTAACTTTACAATATTATACTTTAAATATATTTTCAAATTTTCATGAAAATCAGCATGAATCTGGAAATGTGCTGTCTTAAAATGGCGTTTGTGATTATAAAGTTAAAAGTCATATTTGATGCTTTTCATCAAACTCTCGATTGAGAATGTGTTTTCTTTTCTGTAAAGAATGATTGTAAAGAGCATTGGTAAAAACTGCTCAAATTTATTACAGTCAAAATTATATTTTTTGGATGCCAAACTAAACTGAAAATTGCAATTATAATAAATTGAATTTATTTGACTTAAATAAGTGCTTTCATAAAATCGTGACTTTAAAAGATTTTGAGGAATGATCCATAAGAACGTAGAGCCATGCTGTTGTTTTAACACAAGTAGTTTGAATCAGATAAACCATATATTTATTAAACTAAATCGGAACATGCAACTATTAAGATAAATAGATAAAATAATATAAAAGTAAAAACTGAGAAAAATTGCACCGAGCGATTCCATAGCCATATAAACATTCTTTAATAATTATTATCCAACTTATATTATTATCTTATTTTATGAATACTATAGAAATCTAGTTGTTTTGTCTTTGGCAATGACGAAGAACGGAAAGTGAATCAATTCAAGCATTTGCTATAGTATCGCATTTGCGGAGAATTGTACAATACTAGTGTGACATTCAATTTTTTTTAACTTATGAATATATATGTATACATATTTTAGAGACTGTAAATTGCTTTGTATGAAAAAAGTTCTTTTACAGTAATTTATTTGTAAATGACATACTTTTTACCTATGACTTATACCTTTAAAATGTTTACTATCACGTTTATGAACTCGCTATAAAGTTGAGTTATTATAATAGCTCAGTCGTTGCTGTCGTCGTGATACTATAGTCAATCTTGCAAACACTTATTAAGATATAAACTCGAAATCTTTATATTTCTTAGAACATTTGCAACTGTTAGATAAAGGAACTTTTTCTGTAAATTATATGTTTCTGGAGTAATTCCCCTTTCTAACTCATAATTTCAGTCAAAGAAAGAGATGACTGCATATCTTGACAAAGCACAATTGTAAAATAAGGTACATAATTTTTTAAGTGATAATTTGATTTTTTTTTTAAATGACAATATCGTGAGTTTTCAAATTATTGATGAACAATCACAAAGCTCAAAACGTCAAAGGTAGATGTATCTCCTTCTGTACACAAGAACTACACTTATAATTGACTTTATGACACAAAACATATTAAAATGATGTAATTCATTGTTTTTTATCTTTTATAAATTATTCATCTACGTTATTTTACACAGAGGATTAAACGTGAATTCAACGATGTCTTAATGATATTCTTATAACTAATGGTTCTGTGATATAACAAGCTGATTTGCGTAAAGTAATCGTATTATCACTATTTAACACATGTTTGGTCTCAAGTAGTAAAGTCTTGTATTTTTTCTCATGGTTTTGAAACAATTGCAATATAAACTAAATTAAACTCACCTTCAATATCATTTAAACTACAGTATATATTGAAAGTTCATTTCATTGTAAAACTTTTATGTTTTCCTTTACATTATGTTATCTCCGTGGAAAACTGTAGTTCGATAAGTCTTAAATAAAAAATATGTGGTTGTGTTTTTTACTTGGTTCAATTTCCCTCTTTTACGTAAGTAAAATATCTGTGTTCAACATTCCTTAGTGCTGCATGGTAGAAGCTTGCGACTTTTTGATACTTGGTTGCAATGCGTTATGTCAAGTTTAAGCGAAAATTTCATTCGAAATTTATCAAATATGCTGTTCACATTAAATTAATTTTGGCTCTGTCGTTTAGCTCATTTTATCAAAATGATATTAATATTTAATATTGTGTATAATTACAATGAATAATAATAAATTATTATCGTATTTCTCATTTCGTTTAATGATCTAACATGCTTACTCTAATGTTTCTAAGCAGACTAAGACTCTTATAACACAACTGACTTATAGCGAAAGGAAAATTTTAAAGAACTTCAGTATTTCAATGTACATACGAAGTTTATGATACAGCATCAAGATATTTCACATCTGTTGCTTTACGTTAAACAATAAAGCTTCCTATCCTGGCTATAACAGAATGGTTTATAAATATTAAAAAAAAACTGGTTGAAAAAGATTCTTCTCAATTCAAAACATATGTTTAAACACTATCCAGAAAATATTTATCAAGTAACTCTCAAAGCTACAAGATGCATACACATGTACATGTATATAGCACAATCGTAGAGCATTATGACTAAAAGAATTGCCATATTCCAATATTATTCTTAAAGGTTCTTTGTGACCTGTCCAGCTTAAACTTTGCCTGTCATCAACAGAATGGTCAAGAGTCTTGTTCAAAAATGTCGAGATCGGGCAGTAAAATTTCAGGTTTATTGATTCTGAAAAACTGTTGGATCTAGGTTTATTTTAAAGTGACAGCATCAGCTATCTCGTTTTTAAATGAAAATATTCTAGTTTTTCATGTTGTTATACAGTTTATCATGTGAAGCTTATCAATATTCTCTGTAGAGTTGAAAGCTTCCGGATTTTATCTTTATTGAGAAGCTTATTTCATTACTGAAGTATCAAAGTTCATTTAAAGCAATTTAAAAAAAGTCATTTACTTTCTGGTTAATATGCAACAAAACATTGCATTACATTAGGGATAGCTCTGGTCACTTGTTTTTCATGTAAAAAATTGGACATGTACACATTAATTTATGTTAATTTTTGTTTACAATATACTAATAAATTTGCAAGAATATTTAAAAAATGGACTAACATCATTCTTTTATCAACAAATATAATGACAATGACGCAAACCTATCACCTGCATATTATCTCTTACAGATTTGATATCCTCTGTTACATACATATAAGAGATTAAGTATAGTAAACGATAATGTCATTCAAATATACCTGAAGTTCCATTCTCAGTTCCCGCCTTAAAAAAGACAGTGGGAAGCTATATTAGGTTATTACAAATTATTTGCAATGAACAATATCATATATTTTCTTATCCTCAAACATTACAAAGTTATAGTGATATTGATGAAATACAAAAAGTCCCTAAAGATTTTATTTATGGCTAGATGTACGTAATTTAAGTTTTGTTGGGGTTTACAATTGATTTTTATAGTTGCTTTGGAATATCTGCTTGTAGCAGATGCACTTATTCAGTCTGCACCATAGGGTATTAAAGTAAAGAAAATAATATTGTCGTATGTGAAACATTTATAAGTATATAACAATTTGGCGAGAGTATATTCAACAATGAACGGACTGCTATTTATTTTGGCTTTATCCGGATTTTCGGAGGTTGCTGATGCTATCGGAAGAACGGAAGAAGGTAAAAAGCATTTCCGAGGAGTTTCTTTTTTAAATTTATATTATATTTATATTTTTCGGCTTTTTGTTCCAGTTACTTATTTTGTGAAAGAAAACAAACGTAAATTATAATATAAATCGTTGAGTATTTACATTTTATATAATTAAAATAAATAATTCTACCTATTGTTATTACCTAATAATGTTTATAACTTTTAATATATAATATCTTTTTAATGTTATGACTCAATTATTACGATCGGGTTTGGGCTATTTTAGTTGTTTTAAGGTTTTAATTTCATATTTATTTATCTATTCATTTTTATCTTTAAATTATTATTATTATTATTTCACAGTATGATTTGAAATTTAACAAGACTTCAAAGTTACATTTTGAAATATTTAGAAACCACTGAAATGTTTATGTCATTCGTCGTTATATTCACTTTTGAAATCAGTTTTTCATTGATTTTCACCAAAAAGTCATTTACACTACAGGTGCATTATAATAATGATAATCATTCGATTTGAGTTAAATTGTGTCCGAAATACAGAAAAAAATAATAAATAATAAATATCTTAAAGCGTGCGTTTACATGTCGACGTTATTCTATTATTATCATTATAATTATTATTATCGTGCTTACTATTATTATCTATGTATTTGTTATAATTAAGATAATTTTGAGGAAATGATACTTAGTTTTCCAATCATTATCATTTTGTTTATTTTCTTTTAAGGGTTTTGTTTACAATCTCAACATTCCTGCAACGATATATCGTGCATTCCACAAAGCCACGTCTGTAACGGAGATGAAGAATGCGTCGATGGATCAGACGAAGTAGGATGTGCAGGTAACTATAATTATTAAACAATAAACCTGCTCAGCTTAAGTTATGGATTTGGACAGAAATACATTTGGAACATTCCATTCCAAAGTTAATGGGGATTCTGAAGTTTAAATTCTATATTGATGGCAAAGGGTATGAGATGTCAGGTTGAGTATGTAAGGAAATTAACAATAAATTATGACAAAATTTGATGATGAATTGTACAACAAAAGAGTACGTGGGTTTATATCACATAATGCCTCATAAACGAATAATTATGTTTTCCTTTAGAAAGGGTAAAATTTAGTTTTTAAAACATTTAAAAGAATATTTTAGAGCAAGCTTAATGTTTAAAGCCTCAGCAAAGTAGCGCTGAATGAGAAATCATTGTCATAAAAGTAGTAAATTGTAAATAAAAAAGTATTTTGACTTCCATACAAACAGTGACTATAACTGTTTTATTGCCAACGTTAATAACAGATGCAAATGGTTGTCCAGGTTATTGGTCAAACAGCAGCTTTTCACGAACTATAAAAGGAATACAAAAATAGAATGCTTGTCCAATATAAAAACAAGAGGGTCATGATGGCCCTGAGTCGCTAACCAGAAACAATTGCTTTTCAGAGTTGGAAATTATCCTTTGTCAATATTATCTGATATCTAATTTGAGCATAGAATATGTTTATACAATAATTTGAAGAAATGCCATGACCTTGGGCATTTAAGCTTTAGCTTAAACGGCGCCAGTCAAGTTAATATGAGCAAATTTGATAAAAGACTACCCAATAATGCTAAAAGTTTGGTGATCATCTATCAATTATTTCAGTAGGAAATGTTCGAAGATTTTCATATTTTTGGCTTTAGTGGCCCCTAAAAGGGGACAATCAAATTATTATAAGCAAACTTGATAAAAGCGTACCTAAAAATGCTACAGACGAAGTTTGGTAATCATCCATCAATTAGTTCTGTAGAAATAGACGTTGAAAGGTATTTCTAATTTTAGCTTTAGAGGCCACTAAAAGGAACCAATCAAATTAATATGATCAAAATTGATAAAAGACTACCCAAGAATGCTACAGACAAAGTATGGTGATCCACCATATGTTAGTTCTGTAGAAATAGATATCTAAAGGTATTTTTATGTTTGCTTTAGCTGGCCCTAGAAGTGGCCAATCACATTTAAATGAGCAAAGTTGATATCAGACTACCCAAGAATGCTACAGACAAAGTTTGATTATCGTCCATCAACTATTTCTGTAGAAGAAGACATTTAAAGGTTTTTTCTATTTTTAGCTTTACCGGCCCCTAAAAGGGGACAATCAAACTAATATGAGCAAACTTTATGACAGACTACCCAAGAATGGTACAGACAAAGTTTGGTGATCAACCAACCATTAGTTCTAAAGAAGAAGATGTCTATAGGTGTTTCTATTGTAGCCCTATAAGCCCCTTTAAGGGACCAATCAAATCAATATGAGCAAATTCGATAAAAGACTACCCAAGAATGCTACAGACAAAGTTTGGTGATCATCCAGCAATTAGTTCTCTAGATATACTTGTTTAAAAGTATTTCTATTCTCTGCTTTAGCGGCCCCTAAAAGGGGCCAATCAAATTAATATGAGCAAACTTGATAAGAGACTACCAAAGAATGCTGCAAACAAAGTTTGGTGATCATCCATTAATAAGAAGATGTCTATAGGTATTTCTATTTTTTACCCTGGAGACCCCTAAAAGGAGCCAATCAAATTAATATGAGCAAATTTGATCATAGACTACATACGAATGCTAATGACAAAGTTTGGTAATCATCCATCTATTTATTTTCTAGATATAGATGTTTAAATGTATTTCTGTTTTAGGCTTTAGCGGCCCCTAAAAGGTTCCAATCAAATTAATATGAGCAAATTTGATAAAAGACTACCCAATAAGGCTAAAGACAAAGTTTGGCGATTATCCATCAATTAGTTCTGTAGAAGAATCGATTAAAGATTTTTCTAATTTTAGCTATGTTGACCCCTAAAAGGGGCCAATTGAAATGACATGAGCAAATTTAAGTGTGACTGTCACAAGGATGATACAGACCAAATTTTAAAAAAATCTGCCCAGTGGTTTCAGAGGAGAAGACGATTGTTGACGCATGACGACGGACGCCGGAGTATACCCCTTTGATACTTATAGCTCACCCTGAGCTTTCGGCTCTGGTGAGTTATAAAAACATTTCTGAGGCCTTGAACGATCAATCACGGCTTGAACTAATGACGAATCTGTGTCAAAGTGTTGTGTAAATAATGCAGTTATGTTTTATGTGCCCATTATGCCCACCAAAAATGCTTCCCTTTCTATTTCTTAATAACTTATTTATCTTTGTAGTCCGGATATGTAACTATCAAAATATTACTTATTGGCTAATTATCTTAGTTATTTTTGCTTTTGTTGCTCTTTGACAATTAGTAGGATAATAGTGATTAATTACTTTGTATGGAGGTCAAAATACTTACTTGCATTTACTACTTTTATTACAAATAATTTCGCATCAAGCCGACTTTATTCAGGCGATAAGCATAAATTTACTTCAAAACCAATATCTTAATTTTTAACTTTCAAAAAAACTAAGGAAATATTAATCCGTTGATGGAGCATAATGTGGCTTTTAACTACAAATGTAGGTTGTACAACAAGATATGGCAATTTTAATAAATGAAGAAATACCTTGTCGTTGCCGCAGAAAACTACTATTTGTATAATGTAATCATGCTATTCTTGTGACCAGGTGAATATTTCGTGATAAAATAGAATTTAATATCAAAGATCAGTAATTATATTTAATAAGTGGTAAAAAAATAACGTTTCTTTATTTTTTCTTTTGTAATTTTAGAAGCTGCGGATTTCTCTCATAAGCTCAATTTTCATTTACGCCCTTGATCACCACCTGCATCCGGACCCCCGTTTTATCAACCAGCATTTATATGACACTTACATCCTGTTGTTACTTTATGTTTCAGATGCGCCTACTTGTTCTGGCGGGTTGATTCCTTGTCCAAAAACAACTGGAGTAACATCATGTGTAGAAACTCAAGAACAATGCTCACAGATAAGCAGCTTTTTATTTGCTTCATTCCTTTACTAAGACATAAATACACGGCATAGTAGGTTCGGAAGGTGATAATCGGCCCGTAAAATAAAAAAAAATGGCCCTAAGGGCTTCAGCCCGAGGGCATTATTTATTTCAGGGCCGATTATCACCTTCTGGTACAACTTTGCCGTGTATTATTGTCTTTAATACACTTTATAGATCTTATATTAGCATTTTTTCTAAAAAAACACTTTGATATTTCTTTCGTTGAAATTTCCGTCTCTGTATTTGTACTGCGTATTAACTTCTACAGAGTTGTTTACTTTTTGTGTGTTCAAAATACACTAGAATCTAGTAGAAATTTTTAATATAATTTCTGTCGGAATGAATTTTTCATATTATTTCTTTAAATTGCAACAATTCATAATAAAATCAAGCGCTTTGTTTAACTTTCACAGTTTATTGTTTAATGACGTTAAATATGACGTCATTGTTTCAGTTTGTGCGCGTGCACATGTTCAGCGGGCTGATACTCGGGGTAACATAGTCTTAATAGGTCACGTGACACTCATAATCAGTTTAAATCATAGGGAATATTGTTACTATTTAGAGTAACAAGTGTATTAATCGCTTTTATTTCATTTGGCAATACATATTGCACACATTATCAAACTCATGCGTTTCTTCTAGAATAAAATAGCAATTAAATTGATACATAATTTCAGCAAGAATTCCTAGGGTATCATTGAAAAAATAGTTTGTTAAATTACTAGGCTCTCTAATTTAGGAAAATAGTGTCACATTTTTGAAAATGAATGGAATAGGGAAACACTTGCATTCACATTTCATAATTTCTGACTATTAACAATCAGTTTGGTTGTGAGGAATGTTAGATGAATGTTATTATGTTTCTGAACAATGGTTAATGGCAAAGCATTTTTATAAGGATGAAATTGTAGATTTTTAAAGGTTCATCATTTCTGAAAAAAGTGACCTTAACTCGTTTACCGTAAGGTAAATTTTCTATAAATGATACATATAGGTGTCCTTTAAGACATATAGCTGGCACATGTTGACAACTTAGTGGTTCCTTATAGTACAACTTAGGATGGTCATACCTTAATAGACAATATTCTTCAATTCCATTATTATACAATGTAAATGTAAATACAGTGCGAGAAACAATAGCAAGAGTCACTGTGGAAGACTAAATGTATGTACATAATTACCTATTTGTATTGTAACAAGTCTTTAATATCAGGAAATATCTTATGTTTGCTACTTAGAAATGCGTTCTAAGTAGCAAACATTCATTTTATGATTAAATTATTGCTAGACTAATTATATGCAGATTTGGTGTTAATTTCCAAAATCTTGTTTATAACCGACAGGTTGCGGTGCTCTGCCGAATATTGATAATGGCGAAGCGAGTTTCCTTGGATTCGGGAATAAAAAATCATCCATCGGCGCGTGGGCAGATATAATCTGTAATGAAGGATATAAAAGTTGTACAAATAAGATCAGGTGTCTAGAAAGTGGGGTTTGGACAACTACTGTGTGCGAACCAGAACAACCAGGTAAGCAGGGCGATGTTTTTGGAATATATTTGTCTTATAAATTTCTCAATGTGTCGACATAAATACACATTCAATATATACTGGCTCTGAATATATATCGATTGTTTTTTGTTTTGCATATGTAACATTTGTTTGTTTCAAACTTCAGACATTTCAAGATGAACAAATTGAAGCGAGAAAACTAGTTTCTTAAAACTCTGTATATTCCCTTTAACCTGACTTACAGTTAGCCCGAGTGCATTACATAAATTAGGGAGTCCAGACATAAATGGAACCTCCATCAATATGACACGTCAGTGCAATTCAACGAAAAGCAGCTCAGGTCCCATTTCTTTTTAAGAAAAATGAGTGTACCCTAAGTATTGGATTGATAAAATGTTAGCAGTTTATATTTTAATTAAAAAAAGAATATTTCTAAGAGACTTATCATGTATAGATTTACATTTGACTTGCAGCACTGTATGGTCAATATTTCGGCAAAAATTAAACACAACATAGCGATTTCAAAAAGCTACTAATTGATCAATTACCTGAACCATTTTGTGATTCTGGTACCTTTGGCAATTACAACAATAATAGTGATTAAGTATTTAGTCACACTCCTACTTTGTTTACCCATTAATACTCTTGTGACAAATATTTTTACATTCAGCACTCCTTTATTCAGATAATAAACAACTAAATTGCTCTTAAATAATTTATTTAAATTAATAAAACTCATATTTGCCCTTCCTGTAAAGGAAAAATATATTCGTTTCTGTAAAAAAATGTGTCTTTAACCCTTTACCTCATATAGACGTATTTTGACGGCTTTTTGCCCTCCCCCCCCCTTTGAGACGCCAAGCAGTGAAAATATGCCCAATTTAGGCCCCAAACACTGTTTGTTGTTTGTAAAATGTTGGTGAAAAAAGTGAATACTTTTCGGCTCCACCCCTTTAAAAAAAGATACATCACGGGGTTGGCAGAACAGGGATGTGCCCAATCTCTTTCGGGGGTATGAAGGGGGTGACAAGCCCCCTAATTGCCAAGAGAATTTTGGACATAAGACTGGCTAAAAATGGCCTCAGATCGATTGTTAGGTAACGTGTAACCAACGCTGAAAATACTTTTAATCTATGTAAATCTGAGAAGCTTTTTGATCTATCTAAATCCATAAAGAACTTGCAGCACATTGAAATCAGTTTTGATGGGAAAAAAATGCAAAAAAGTGATTTTGGCAAATTTGAGACGCCCTCCCCCGTTGCCATGGTAACATGACATTTAAAATTGAGCATGTTGTTACAGAGGGTATGGTCCAGTCAATATTTGTGCCAAGTTTCATCAGTATTGAAGCATTTTTCATAGTTTTATAGCAGTTTGAACTTGTAAAAGGAGGTTTTTCAATAAAAACGGTCAATTTTCACAATATGCTCCTGAAGTAAATGGTTAATGTTTCCTAATTTATTTCCTTAAGTTAAGGTGTAGATGCTGATAATCATTTTGAAACATATCCGTGAAATATAAAGTAAATTTCACATGTTAAGAGTGAATCTTGGAATGCATATTGGCAAAATAATTCATTCACAATTCTTAAACTGTCCTGAGAACAATGTAAAAAAAATCACTTTGGGCCCATTGTGCAAGTTTAAAGAGGAGCAAGATTTGTAATTTAAACTTCATATCGGAAAAGCGCCAAACTCTACACATTTCTTAAATATATCCTAATTAAGTAAAAATGCTTATCAACTTGATTATCGCCTCCGTGGTCGAGGAGTTAGAGTCGATGACTTCTAATTCAGTAACCTCTCTGGCGTGGGTTCGATCCCCGGGAGATGCTTTGGTAGCACGGAGGAAGGTAGTCTATTACTGGTGTAACTCTCCAGGAACGATGGTTAGGTAATTACCCGCCTATATGACTGAAATACTGTTGGGAAAAGGCGTACAATGAAACAAACAAACAATCAACTTGAATACATGTTTAGTATCCATAATGTCTGTTTGAAGGTAAACTATTCAATGAAAAATATCTTAAGGGAACACAAATTAAATGCAATACTCGGGATCAATTTATCTTTATTTGATCTTTTCACTATTTTTTCTCTATTGTCTTTCTGTCCTTATTTCCCTAAACATTAAATAATGATTAGTTGTTTCTATATGCTTACTTGTACCAGTCTTTTGTTGTTCACTAATTTAAATGATGTTTAAGTCGTTGCTTATAATTTCCTTGAAAAAGTATTTTCGTAATTGATAGAGTACAACATTAACTTACAAAAAGTAGTATAATTAAGTTCATGCGAATTGCACAGTTCTTGTAATAATCCTTTTTCATTGTAAAAAAAAACAAAACAAAAATTACTATTTGCCATCGTTTGTTAATCCTTTACCTCATCTATACGCGAAACAACGCACTTTCGACCCCCCCCCCTTTTTTTAGGCCTGAAATAGTGAAAAAATGTCCTAGTTGGGCCCCAAACACATGTTTTCGTTTAGGAAATCTTGCTAAAAGTGAGCACTTTTTCGGCGCCGCCCCCATCGAAAAGATACAACAGGGGGTTGCCAGAAGGGGGATGTGCCCCTTCTGTTTGGGGGTTTGAGGTGGGCGGAGTCCCGCTCATCGCAAAGAAAATTTTGGACTTATGAGAGGCTACAAATGACCCCAGGTCGATCATAAGGTAACGTGTTACCAACACTGAAAAGCCTATCTCAATCCCTTGAGAAGTTGCAGCACTTTGAAATAAATTTTGATAGAAAAAAACGAGGCAAAATGGTGATTTTTGGCAATTTTGAGATGTCCCCTCGTTGCCATGGTAACAGGAAATTTAAGACTGAGCATGACGTTCAAAGGCAATGGTCCAATCAACATTTGTGCCAAGTTTGATTAGTATTGAAGCATTTTTCATAGTTGAGGGAAAGGGTTAAAATATATCAAACGTAATAATATTCATTTTACAACTTCAAAAACACGTTTATTAATATGATGAAATCTTTCTCTTCCATTTCCCTTTGAAGGCATACAATGTAAGGCAAACAACACTTGTGGACTATCTGCCGGATCGTGTAGTACTCCTGGTCAAAGTAAGTCAGCAATGATTAAAATTTCTTTCAAATTTTACGTTCCCTTCTTTTACTTTTTTTGAATATATTCTAATGTACTAAACTTAGTGAGTTTTATTTTAAATAGCATAACAATGATATATTGATAAACTGTAAGTAAACAATTAGCAAATAATCTTCATGGTTTGCCATTTTCACTGCCATATGTATATATTTGCAATGTATGTTTTAAACGTGTCTACTGGTTTAAAATTAAGCTTGTTTTGAAATGATATGATTTTCTTTGTAGAATGTTACATTGACGATGTCGAAGTGATTTTACCGAACACTGGCTCATACGAATTTGAACACTTTGAACAACCTATTGCTTCAGAAGAAATTTGCAGAGGAATGTGTTTGAGTGTCACAACGTATCGTTGTGTTGCCTACAGCTATAATCCACCTTCAGAACAATGTTTTACATTCACCAAAACTCCAGCTGAAGGATTAAATACCGTATATCATAATTATAGTGTGCTGAGAATACTGACATGTCCAGCTTGTTGAACAATTTAAAAAGATCAAGCCTGATTAATGCCTTTTGTCAAACTATTAGGACTAAAGTATATAGAATGGTATGTCTGGTACCCATTAACTTTCTTTTTTAACTTTTTGAAGGTTAATTTTCTACATAAAATTACAAACAAACAAAATTAAATAAATGTATCTGTAAAAAAATCTTGTTTTATACTTATTTGTATCATAGTAAGGGGACTTTCTGTTGAAAATGTGACAGAGTTAAATCGTATACATTCATACATGCACAGTGCGTTAACTGGAGTGCAGGTATTATTTACCCGCACTCCAGAGCATGCCCATTGATTGGTTCATTTTGTCCGGGGTTTACATATTGTGACGACAGAGACAGGGATAGCCAAAGAAATATCATATTCAGATGCTTGTTCATTGTTACTTTTTTACCCGGGGTTTCATATTGTGACAACAGGGAACGTGTTTTTATGTTTGACTATGACAATGTGTGTTAATTATTAAACTATTTCAACGTTCTCAGCTTACAGATATTAATTTAAGACTTTACTTGATTGCAATGCCCATAATCTTCCAATGTTAACAATAAATGAAAAAAAATTCTAAGGAACTCCAATGAGGTCCATGTTTTTCTAACATAAATCAGCTGGGACACTTAAAACAGAAAAATATGCAACAAGATAATAAAGAAAGATACCCAAACCGAACAAATATCATAAATAACAAGGGAAATGTCGTTACTATAATTATATTGCTTCAAAGCCACCAACATTTTATTGAAAGGACATCGGAACGTGAGACAATATATTGAACGACAATTCGAATGATGTTGCTTTGTTTGTTTAGATTTTTACGGCACGTCAACACTACCTGGCCATATTGTGCCGAATGCTATAATAGGCTTAAAATGTTATGTTTAACTTTGTAAATGACAATGAAAATGAGCCAATTTGATCCTAGAATACAGGTTTATCTCTTTCAAATGATCAATGGTGTTTTTGATTGAATTGTATTAAAGAGTTCTCTGAGTGAATTTACACAATAAAAGCTATTACGGGCCTGTGAAAGATCATGCCATGCAATGAAAAATGCTTGACAGTAAAATTTTCATAACAAGGTACACAGAATGGGGCATTGCCATTCGTGAGGAGATAAGAGTGGGTAATTTTAGTGTGTCCAATTCGGTATGGAAGAAGAACTGCTAGATCATGGCGGTTTGACAGAGATAGAAATGGTGAGAGATGGGTTTATATCGTGAAGTTTATTAAAAACGGCTTTGTCCTTATTTGTTTACCATTCAGATGATGAGAGTTTATTTATAGCCGGTCTAAAATCACATGCAGGTAACAATAAGTCAGTTTTTTGAAAATGTAATGATTGTTTAGCTAAAGCATCTACTATTTTCATTTCCTGGTATACTTACATGACATTGAATCCAATATAATTTAACAGATTTTATTTTAAGTACATCATGAAATCGTAAAAGAAGTTTCTATATCATGAAATTGTCATAATTTTATTTTTAATGGATATTAAATAAGAAAGCGAGTCAGAAAATATCACAAATTGATCATGGGTATGCTGTACTATGTATGACAATGTTAAATCTATAGCTTTTGATTCAGCAATAAAAATTGATGCATTATCTGGTAACCTTATACTAGATGTAAATTATTTTCAAACACAGCCGCACCTACTTTGCAACCTTTTTTTTAATCGTCCGTATAAATATGTATAAAATCTTCATGATCTTCCTTAATTGCTAGAAACTTCACTTTGAAATTTTCAAGTGAATTTGATGATTTTTTTTAATTTTGAAAGGTGGAATATCCTCATCGTCATTTTGAAGGATACTGTCTGGATTGATTTTTAGTTTATCTAAATCATCTTTTAAACGAAGGCCTAATGGTTTAATTTCCTTTGTTTTTTAACAAATTTTTCAGTAAAACTTAGTTTGAAAATAATATGTTTAGCTGGATTTTTGCAATAAGATGAAATTCTAGTTGCATATTGAAGTGGTAGCTTTTTTCGACGAAGATGAAGCGATGGTTCCCCAGCTTCCGCATATAGACTTTCTACATGTGAGGTGCGAAAAGCACCTAAAGTTAAAAATTTAAGCACAATCATCCGAAATTTATTAAATATGCTAGTTTTTGTCTCTGTCGTTTAGCTTGTTTTATCAAAATAATGTTAATATTGAATAGTTTGAACAATTACTTCTCATTTCGTTTAATGATCGAACATGCTTACTCTAATGTTTCTAAGCAGACTAAGACTCATAAATAAAACTTTACTTACACAACAGACTTATAGCGAAAGGAAAGTTTAAAAAAGCGGTTCGAAAATCTACCATTTGAAAAGGCAGATAAAGATTAAAAATTTAAACATTACTTTAACCGATTGCATGAAATAATTAACATTTAAGTATTCAAGCCTTAAAATAATTCATATGACATAAGGTATGATAAAAAATTAAGAGGTGTAGTATCGAAATGTTTGGCACTGTTTATATTTCCATGAACAAAATACTGAAAGCAAAAGCTGTATATTTAGGTATTATAACAGATTTTATTTTTTCTTAATTACGGGGACTAACAAATTATGCTGATTTTTTATATTGTAAACCTTAAAATACACTATGGATTGTGTTCTGTATTTAATTTGTTTTAGCTACATCATATAGGGAAATATTTCCAAAAACAAAGAATCGTTGAACAAAATATAATCATATTATGCAATATTTGATCTAAAGTTTAATGCGTTTTAAACACATGCAACCATCTTACTAAGTAAGATACGAAAAAAACCTGTCCTGTAGGATCCTGTGTACACTTGCAGCGCCAGACGAATTTAATGGATTATGCCACTGTCCTGTATTGCTAAATAAAAGTCTGTTCCAACTTAGAAATAATATAAAATTTACTTTGAATTCACACTTTAAATCAAAACAAGGTTCACCATGGCTATAAGTATATATTTTTCTGTCTATTGTCTGAAATTATACGATGGCAGTTTAATTCCGTTAAAGTTTAAAAAGTTATTTCCTGGATTAACAGGAAAACGGGAAACCAGCTTCACAGATACTACGGTTAGAAAATATTATAATAGTGTTATACTAATTAGTACAGTGAAATTAGAAAAAGATTAAACTGTGAGAGAATCGGAAGCCTTGAAATACGTGATCCTGTGCAGGGTACCAGATTATTCCTTCATTACACGACATGTACGATGATTAATGATGAAATATATTGTCAAACATATGTGAAATGTAAATCTTTTCGAATCAAAGAAGAACTGGGCTCTATTTTGTTTTAATATGAAATTAGTTGGTGCAAAGAAATGTTGCAAATGTCTGTATTGACCGACAATTTTTTTCACTTTGGCTATATTTGCAATTTGCCTCAAACTAAACTATTGCACGAAATCAAATATACTTTATTTCCTCTGTTAATGTCAGACGCTTTATAAATATTTTATCAAATGTAAGAAAATTGAAAAATTATCGTAAAATGTTTGTAACAGTAAGGTTTGTTAATCTCCTACAGATCTTCAGTTTTTCGATGTACATACGACGTTATGGTATTGAATTAAGATATTTCACATCTGTTGCTTTACGTTAAACAATAAAGCTACCTTTCCTGGCTATAACGGAATGGTTTTTAAATAATTAAAAGAAACTGATTGAAAACGATTCTTCTCAATTCAAAGCATGTGTATGTGTAAACAATATCCAGAAAATATTTGACAAGTAACTCTCAAAACTACACGATGCATACACATGTACATGTATAGAACACAATTGTAGAAACGAATTGGAAAATTCCAATATTATTTTTTAAGGATTTTTTTGCTCTGTCCAGCTAAAACTTTGGTTGTCATCAACAGAATGGTCAAGAGACTTGTTCAAAAATATTCAAATTGGGCCGTTAAAATTTCTGGTTTCCTGAATCTGCTAGGTTCCGCCTGGGCTCCTTGCAACTGGTTCTTGTTGCTTGGTCGTATGGGGTTGATTCATTGAACGCCTACTTTCCATATTGTACTACAGTTTAGCACGTGAACTTTATCAATATTCCCCGTAAAATTGAAAAATTTTCGGATTTTATCTTTATTGAGGAGCTTATTTCACAATGAATTCTAATGACTGAAGTATCAAAGTTATTAAAGCAACTAAAAACGACATTTACTTTCCAGTAGATATGCAACAAAACAGTGCATAACTTCCGGGATAGTTCTGATCACTTGCTTTTCGTGTAAGAAATTGGACGAGTTCACATTTATTTACATTTCTAAAATTTCGTTGATGAATTGTCAAGAAAATATAGAAAATGAAATAAGACCATTCCTTAACCATATAATATTATGACATTGACCCAAACCAATCACCCGCAAATAATCTCTTTGCAGATTTCATATGCTCTATTACATACATATAAGAGATTAAGTATAGTAAACTCAATATTTCTTATAATGCCATTCAAATATCACTGAAGTTCTATTCTCAAATCCAACCTTAAAAAAGACAAAGATAAGTTACATTAGGCTATGACAAATTCTGTACAATGAACGATCTTATATGTTTTTTATTCTCAAACATTAAGTTATTGTGATATTGATGAAATACATAAAGTCCTTTTAGATTTCATTTATGGCTAGATGTACGTAATTAAGTTTTTTGTTGAGCTAAACAATTGATTTCTATAATTGATTTGGAAACATTCTTTGCAGCAGATGTTTTTTAAACTGCGTGCATTTATTATTATTCATTCTGACACATACGGTATTAAAGTGAAGAAAATAACATTGGCGTATGTGAAACATTTATAAGAATATAGCAATTTGACGAAAGTATATTCAACAATGAACGCACTGCTGTTTATTTTGGTTTTATTCGGGTTTTCTAAGATTTCTGATGCAATCGGAAGAACGGAAGAAGGTAAAAAGCATTTTCGAATTTCTATTTTATTTATATTTGTCGGCTTTTTGCTTCAGTTACTTATTTTACGAAGAGAAACAAACGTATTAAATTATAATATAAATCGTTTCTTTAATGAGTCTTTACATTTTATTTCATGAGATAAAGAATTTCTACACATTGTTATTACCTAATAATGTTTAATATAATTATTATGTTTTAAATATTATTACCCATGTATTACGATCGGGTTTGGGCTATTTAGTTGTTTTAAGGTTTTACTTTCGTTTTTATTTATTTACTCATTTTTTATCTTCCTTTAATATAATTATTATTACTATTATTATTATTATTATTTCGCAATATGATTTGAATTTTAACGACTTCAAGTTACAGTTGGAAATCTTTACAAACCACTGAAATGTTTATGTCATTCATCGTTATATTCTTATTTTGAAATCATTTATTCAATGATTAATGTACATTATAATAATGATCATCATTCAATTTTGTCTGTAAAAATAGGGAAAATAGTTATAATGAATATTAAAATTATTTAAAGCGTAATTGTTTTGTGTCGATGTAATTTTATCACTATTATAATAATTATTATCATGTTTTTTTTATACTTTTTCATTATTATTTATTTATTTATTTGTTTATTTGTTTGTAATTATTATTGAAATAATTTTTAGGAAATGATACTTAGTTTTCCAATTATTATCCATATTTTTATTTTCATTTAAGGGTTTTGCTTACAATCTCAACATTCCTGCAACGATATATCGTGCATTCCACAAAGCCACGTCTGTAACGGAGATGAAGAATGCGTCGATGGATCAGACGAAGTAGGATGTGCCGGTAAATATAATTCTTTGTATCATAGTTTGGGGACCTTTCTGTTGAAAATGTGCCAGAGTTAAATCGTATACATACACAGTGCGTTAACTGTAGTTCAGGTATTAGTTACCCGCACTCCAGAGCATACCCGTTGATTGGCTTAGTTTTGCTGGTGGTTACTTATTGTGACCGTAGAGAAAGGGAAACCGATAGAAATATCATATTCCGATAATCGTTCATTGGTTCCTTTTCTCCGGGGTTTCATATTGTGACAACAAGGACCGTGTTTTTAAGATTGACTATGATAACGAAAGAGAAAGAACATCAAAACACTCGCAAATCTAGTAGGCTCGTGTTTCGATGCTATTACGTAACCATAAACCTGCTCAGCTTAAGTAATAGACTTGCACAGCCATATATTTGGACCATTTTATTCTAAAGTTCAAGGGGATTTTTTAATAAAAAATCTAAACTGATGGCAAAGGGTATGAGATGTCAGTTCGAGCATATAAAGAATTTACAATAGAGTATGACAAAATTTAATGATGAATTGTACAAATAGTGAGTTTATTACACATAACGCCTCAGAAACGAATTATTGTTTCTTCCATTAGAAAGGGAAAAAATTAGTTTTAAAACATTTAAGAGAATATTCTAGAGCATTCTTAATGGGTAAAGCCTTATGAAAGTAGCGCTGAATGAGAAATAATTGTCATAAAGGTAGGAAATTGTAAATAAAGAAGCACTCTGACTTCCATACAAAATACTTAATCACAGTGACTATAACTGTATAATTGCCAGTGTTAATAACAGATGCAACTGAAAGTCCACTTAATTGGCCAAATAGCAGCTTTTCGGAAACTGATAAAGGACAACGTCTGAAATAAAGATAAAAACATTTCTGAGGCATAACGGACCTTGAACGATCAATAACGGTTTGAATTAATGACTAATTTGTGACAGAATGAATAAATAAATGTACTTAGTTTTAAATGCCCATTATGACCCCAAGATGTCTTATTGATATTTCTAAAAAAAATACCTTTGAAGTCCGGATATAGCTTCCAAAATATTGCTTATTGGCCAATTATCTGAATTATATTTGCCTTTTGACCATAAGTAGGATTATAGAGATTTAGTACTTTGCATGACTTCAAAATATTTCGTTGATAACATTTATTACTTTTATGACGAATAATTTCGCATCCAGCCTATTTTCTTCAGGCGATAAGCATAAATATGCTTCAAAACTAATATCTTAATTTTAAACTTTCTGAAAAAAAAAAGGAAATATTCATCAACCGTTCATGGGCATAATTTTGCTTTAAACTACAAAATAATGTAGGTTGTACAACAAGATATGTAATCATTTTATACTTGTGACCAGATGAATATTTCATGATAAAAATACTTAAAAACAAATAATCAAAATAGTGAACAGTGATAATATTTAATAAGTGGTATAAGATATAATGATATATTATTGTAACAGTTGTTTTCTTTTGTCATTTTAGAAACTGTGGATTTCTCTCATACGTTTCATTTTCATTTACGCTCTTTGATCACCACCTGCACCCCGACCCCCGTATCACGACGAGCAATTATATGACACATAAATCATGCTGTTACTTTATTTTTCAGATGCACCTACTTGTTCTGGCGAGTTGATTCCTTGTCCAAAAACAACTGGAGTAACATCATGTGTAGAAACTCAAGAACAATGCCTACAGATAAGCAGCTTTTTATTTGCTTCATTCCTTTACTAAGACATTAATACACGGCGAATTGGGCCGTAAGGTGATAATTGGTCCGTAAAATGAATAATTACCCTGAGGGCTTCGAATAATTTCTTTTGGCTGCGCAACGCTATTGGCATTATTTATTTCAGGACCGGGCCGCTTTTCACCTTCTAGTACAACTAAATACACTTGATAGATCTAATAGTAGCATTTTTTTTTAAACAAAACACTTTGATATTTCTTTCGTTGAAATTTCTGTCTCTGTCTTTGTACTGCACATTAAAAAAGTACACTAGAATCTAGTAGCAAGATTTTTTTTTCATTTTTGTCGGAATGAATTTGTCGTATTAAATATTTCATTAAATTGCAATAATTCATAATAAAATCAAGCTCTTTGTGTCTCACTTTAACAGTTAACTGTTTGATGACGTTAAATATGACGACATTGTTTCATTTTGTGTACGTGCACATGTTCAGCTGTCTGATACCCAGGGCCGAAACTCATAATCGGTCACGTGGCACTCATAATCAGTTTACATCATAGGCAATTAATTTTGTTACTATATAAAGGAACATGTGTATTAATCGCTTTAACTTCATTTGTCAATACAATTTGCACACATAATCTAACTCATGCGTTTCTTCTAGAATTAAATAACAATTTAAATGATGTATAATATCAAAAAGAATTCCTAGGGAAATCATTTAAACATACATTCACTTGAGTTAATTTAATCTAAGTTGGAAAATAATCACACAAGTGTTAAAATGGGTGGAATAGGGAAACATTTGAATTCATATTTCATAACTTCAGACTATAAACAATCAGTTTGCTTGTGAGGAATGTTAGCTGAATGTTATTATGTTTCTGAACAATAAATAATGGCAAAGCATTATTAATAAGGATGATATTTTAGACTTTTTAAGGTTCACCATTTCTGAAAAAGGTCCTTCTAACATTAAAAGTGACCTTCAATCGTTTACCGTAAGTTAAAGTTTGTTTAATGATGCATACAGGTGTCATACAAAGAAAATAGCTGGCCCATATTGACAATTTATTAGTTCCTTATAGTACAATTAAGGATGGTCAGACCTTAATAGACAATATTCTTCCAATTCCATTATTATAAATGTAAATACAGTGCGAGAAATTATGACATGAGTCACTGTGGCATACTAAATATATGTACATAATTACCTTTTTGTATTGTAAGTCTCAAATATCAAAAAAATATCTAATGTTTTTCTATTTAGAAATGCGTTCTAAGTAGGAAATATTCATTACATAATAAAATTATTGCTAAACGCATCATATGCAGATTTGGTGTTAATTGTCAAAATCTTGTCTTTAACCGACAGGTTGCGGTGCTCTGCCGGATATTGTTAATGGCGAGGCGAGTTTTCTTGGATCCTGGAATAAAAAATCAGCCATCGGCGCGTGGGCTGATGTAACCTGTAATTCAGGATATAAAAGTTGTACAAATAAGATCCGATGTCTAGAAAGTGGGGTTTGGACAACCACTGTGTGCGAACCAGAACAACCAGGTAAGCAGGGCCACGTTTTTGGGGCGTATTTGTCTTATAACTTTCTCAATGTGTCGACATTAATCTACGTTCGGTATATATTAGCTCTGAATATGTACCGATTTTATTTGTTTTGCATATGTAACAGTTGTTTGTTTCAAACATAAGACATTTCAAGATGTTAACGATATATAAAACTGTTCGTGTAGAAAGGGAGAAAAAAAATTCCTTAAAAGTATGCATAACATGACATCATAGTTTTACATGTATATTAGAACTGAACAGAAATGACAACATTTGTTATTTTGCTTAGTTTGTATCTTCCTAAAGATTTATTCTAAAGAGTTATATCTATCAAAAACAAAATACGTTTTAAATTAAAATGTTAAGCAGCTGTTATAAGTACCATATATATTTACAGTGTAAACAAAAGAAATCTGATTTGTTATAGTTTAAAAAAACAGACGTACCTTCAGTCTCTAATTTGTAAATTCTCTTCTAAATCAACACGCAATCAAACTTTAGATGTACGCTCATTATATATGATGTAAGATAAGAAATTCTGCAAATATTCAGAAGAAGAATGTAACTTAAATCCAACACTCTCAATATTTCTACTTTCTATATATACTCTTCAATATATATCGTTGAAATCATTTTGCCCTGTTCATACACACCGATTTTAATCTTACCAACTACAATATTTCACATTTTGCAAACGTATATGATTTGTGTTTTTGTTGATTGATCTTTATAATTATGAACCTACTTAACATATCTTAAGAGAATTAAGGAATTAGAACTTTTCCTCTTGTCACCTTAATATAATTCATTTCATTTCTTTTTCTTTTAATTATCTTACTTCATCTTTTTTGCAATTATACATATTTAGTTTCCCTTCCTTTTTTTGACTTTCTTTGTTTTTTTCATGATAACTTTTTCATATAAGTCATTATGGTTATCACAGTGCATGAATAGTAAATTTAAGTTTTCTTTTCCCTGTGATTTAACCATTTAAATTTTCCCTTTATGTTTTTTATAATATCTAGCACATAGACCAACGTTGTAGGTTGTCACATTTTATGTTTAGTTATCCTTCAAGTTTGAAACTCGTCCAAACTCATCCATTGTTGTGTACAAATACTTTAAATAATTTCAATGCTCAATCTTTTCATTTTGCATACGTTCAATTATTCGTCATACCTTCTTATACATATATCCTTCACAGCATTTCTTCGTTCTCCAGCTGGCTTACGGAAGGTCGATGGTTCTACCCAGGTACCCGCTCGTGCCTGAAATAATGCCCAGAGGGGCACATGGGGTCTTCCTCCACCAATAAAAGTTATAAAAAAACGATGAAAAAATCTCGGCGTGACGCTCCATCCATTTCTTGACATCTTTCCATCATCACATTTAATGCCACTTTAGCCATTCAGACTCCATGGTCTATAGGTTTACTGAAAAGTCACTGGGTTAACAAAACTACATTCCAATCTCAAAATTATAACATAAGCCCATATGGGCTTTCCGACGGCGACCTTAAATAAACGCATTAAAACAATTTTTCGTCTTCCTTAACTTTTACTTTGTTGTCAGGAGTTCATGTAAGTGAAGTGGACAAAAGCATTCGTTATTTTTGCCTGATTTAGCTACTAAGTTCTCATTTTCATACCCTTCCCTTCTTCTATTTTGTCTATATGTTATATTATAATTTCTTTGTACCCTTTACTCATATATATCCCGTTCATTTCGATCGTCATTTATATATAGTTTGTTATTTATCCTAAAACAATAGTGATAATAAAAACAAACAAGCGTACTATTTATTTACCCTTTGTTCAAACTTATTTATTCACAATTTTCACAAACTATATTTGTACAATCTTCAAATCACTATGCTCTCATTTCAAAATGTTCGGATATTTGCTTCGTCTTTCGCGGTTACAACTACAACTTTTGCATCCTGCAGTCTAATTACTTGGACCTTTTCTTCAACTATTACGTGTCCTTCTACGGGAACTTTTAGTAAACTAGTAGTCTCTGCCTGATGTCTCCATATTCAGTCTATCAATTTTCTTCTTGGTAATAAACTTTCAATGGTACGTATACTTCTGTGTTGTCTCAAGTATATTAGTTTCTTAGTAAATTAGTCTATAATTCGTACTTCTTTTTTATCTCTTTTTATAACTTGAATGTTATATTACATAATGTGTTTACTTGCATGTAATATTTTAATATTGTGTAAACATAAAGAAAATATTATATGAAATATCTGGTGATTTACTTATTTACATTCATCACATTTATTTATTTCTTTTTGCGCACTTGCAGAATAAGATGCACGCTGTAACCGGAGTGACCTTTGTGAAATTGTAAATAATACTGGTGAGTTTGCGTTTCATTTTCTTGTTTGTACCGTACAGGTATTTTTCTGTTATCTCCAGGTTAAACACAAATATTGACTAACTACTAACAATTGTAGAATTTATACTGGTAAATCAATAACTTAAGATATTTTTGCCACTTAACAGTTCAAGATCTTGCTTTGATGTCATAAAAGTTAAATAACGATTTTATTGTTTATAAACAGTTTATTAAATATATATAAGTAGTCTTTTGTTCTGTCATATGTTAAAAAATGATGTATTGTATTTTTTCAGGTTGCCGGAATCTTTCTACATGGACTTTACGTTGTTCACATAATACAAAGTGCTGCATCTACATTTGATGATAAATGAATAAATGTTGTGATATCCGCCAACATTTACTCAGTTTATAAATGTAACAATGCAAAAAATTCACATTCGATGTATTCGATCCAGCATTAACCGGAGCATATATATATAAGCATTTATTACACAGTTCTACATTTCAATTGATATTTCAGACTGTTTATCTGATATAATCTCACTTACGTTTTAGCTGTAGTCTTTAGGCCTCCGTATTCGTATGGCCATGGACGTATAGCTTAACCACTACCCTCTCACCGCTAAGGGTTCATCTTGCGCCAAAGACTTTGGATTGTTTTGACCAGAACAGGCTTTCTAGTGTTCTTTACCGAATATCGATGGCTCTACTCAGGTGCCCGTTTGTGTCTACAATAATGCATGAAATGGACCTTAAGTCTATTTCCACCATTTAAACCCAACCAAAATAACAATCCAGTCTCATAATATTTTTTTTAACAAATATCTTTAATAAAGAAATACAAAGCTTTTTATCTTCAAAAGGTATATGTAAAAACTCACTCGTAGACATTTCTTTCTTTTCAATGTTAATCGTCTTTTTTGAATGTTTGCATGTTTTCGCAATTGCGTGGTGTTCATATATTGTTTACTTATTATGTACTTATTATCTTTGGGTATTTGTAAATAAGTTATTAACACGTACACATTATCTTTTACGTAATAACATGATTTAGTGTTATTTCTTATAAAGTATAAGTGAGACACTCTTACATTCTGCAACCGGCCAAACCAATAAACGTAGCTGCGGTATGATTCAATGCTATAATGCGTCTGTTTGTTTTTCTGATCATGTCCATTTAAATACACGTTGGTTCAAATCTCAAAGGTGCATTAATTAAACTAGTTTCTTCCCAAATGTACCTTTGTCTTTTTCAGTGTCTACAATAATGCATGAAATGGCCCTTAAGTCTATTTCCACCATTGCAACCCAACCAAAATAACCATTCAGTCTCATAATAATTTTTTAAACAAATATCTTTTATAAAGAAATACAAAGCTTTTTATCTTCAAAAGGTATATGTAAAAACTCACTCGCAGATATTTCTTTCTTTTCAATGTTAGAGGTCTTTTTTGAATGTTTGCATGTTTTCGCAATTGCGTGGTGTTCATATATTGTTTACTTATTATGTATCTTAGGGTATTTGTATATAAGTTATATACACCTACACATTACCTTTTATGTAATAACATGATTTAGTGTTATTTCTTATAAAGTATAAGTGAGACACTCTTACACTCTGCAACCAGCCAATCCAATAAACTTAGCTGTGGCATAATTCAATGCTATAATGCGTCTGTTTGTTTTTCTGATCATGTCCATTTAAATACACGTTGGTTCAAATCTCAAAGGTGCATTAATTAAACCAGTTTCTTCCCAAATGTACCTTTGTCTTTTTCCCGATATGCTTGCAAATACAATGTTTCGGAAATTTTTCATCAAAATATTGCCGCATTGAACATTTTCAGCAAGCATGAACAAAAAGGTAAATGAGCTTAAATTAGAAAGATATATACCATTGACGCCAGAAAAGATTTGCCTACAACATTGTATCTGTCTAGCATAAACATATTGAAATATATAACAAAATAGAACCAAATATCTTATAAGCAAAAGACCTCGCCATACGCGTCAATCCAATTCTTCTTAGAAATCTGTATTTCGATGCCGTAGTCATGTTTGTGTCATCGACCAAAACCTGTGAAAAATATATGTATATGCATCGACCAAACCATTTATTGAACTATCATTCTTTTTGTGACGTAAGAAATATTTTCTCTTGAATAAGGTGTACGTAAAAGCACAAAGGACATTAATTTAGAACTCATTTATCTTGCCTCCGTCTGTTTGCCCGTCCGTCTTTCTGTCCATCCGGTGTCCGTCATACAAGTTAATAAAGCATCAAACATAACTATATTTGGAACCTCTTACTTCAAATATAGCAACCTTAAAATGCTCAGACAAAAAATCACTAATAAGTCCCATTCCTTCCGTCTGTCCATCGCGCGTCTTGAAATTGGCAATCACGTAAGGCAAAGCTTTATATGTGGATAAATCCCCATTATAAGAAATGGTTTATCTGAGAATCATAATTTTCTTTTATAAATATTTACAAGCTTTATTTTTGCATTGAGCACAACATATGTATAGTAGTTGTTTACTTGAAGCCTTATAGGCGCCTTCTAGTCACCGCTGCAACGTCTATAGATCTTGTGGAATTAAAGAAACTTGAACGTTGAACATTGTTCAGCTCAACATTACCATCGATAGCAACA